GACAGCGACGACGTGTCCGAGGTGGACGCCAGGCACATCATCGAGTGAGTCCTTCCCAGTGCCCCTTCCCAAGGAGCGGGATCCATGGGGGTTGCTCCAAAGGGAGCCCTTTTCCTCACGGGCTCTTCCCGTGCGGCAGGAACGCCAAGCAGGACGTGGATGATGAGTATGGGGTGTCGCAGGCGCTGGCACACCGGGGCCTGCAGTCCTACTACGCCGTGGCCCACGCCGTCACCGAGCGGGTGGACAAGCAATCCACGCTCATGGTCAACGGGGTCCTCAAGCAATACCAGGTGAGGGGCTGCAGGAGCATCCCACCGGCACCTCCTGGGCTTGTAGCCGGCTTCTTCCCATCCTTCCATCCCTGTTTTCCTCACAGATCAAGGGGCTGGAGTGGTTGGTGTCCCTGTACAACAACAACCTGAATGGCATCTTGGCCGATGAGATGGGGCTGGGCAAGACCATCCAGACCATTGCTCTCATCACGTACCTCATGGAGCACAAACGCATCAATGGGCCCTTCCTCATCATCGTCCCGCTCTCGTAAGCAAGCGCCGGATTCTTGCTTGGCCAAACCTTGGGACCGGGTTTTCCCGGGTGCTTCCCACAGCACCGGGGCCTCTTTGACCAATTCTCTTGGTTTTCCCCCCAGAACTTTGTCCAATTGGGCCTACGAGTTCGACAAGTGGGCTCCTTCCGTGGTGAAGGTCTCGTACAAGGCAAGTAGTGACGTTGGCTTCACCTTTTCCTCTTTCCAATCTTATTTCCTTCTTCCCACGGAATCTGGGACGTTTCCCGGCACTTAAATCCACGGCCCCCGGGTTTGTTTGTCATTCCCCTTCACCGTTCCCGTTGGGAATTCCCTCCGCAGGGCTCGCCAGCAGCCAGACGCGCCTTTGTCCCTCAGCTCCGCAGCGGGAAGTTCAACGTCCTGCTCACCACTTACGAGTACATCATCAAGGACAAGCACATCCTGGCCAAGGTGGGTCCTCTCTGGGGCAGGAGCAGAAGAATCCTCCCATCTCAAGTGATCTTTCCCTCTGGATTCTCCCGCTTTCTCTTGCTTTTCCCCCTCTCTTTAATCGATCAATTCGTGGGATAGGGAACATGTAGAACCCCAACAAGGTGGTTGCTGAACGCTGCGGGGGGGTGGGGGTGGGTTCTGCCCTGTCCCAGCACCACGGGGTTCCTGGCTCGGTGCATCCCTCCTGGCTGCCTCCACTCCTCCTCCTCCTCCTCCTCGCCGCAGATCCGATGGAAGTACATGATCGTGGACGAGGGCCACCGCATGAAGAACCACCACTGCAAGCTCACGCAGGTGCTCAACACACACTACGTGGCCCCGCGGCGGCTCCTGCTCACCGGGACCCCGCTGCAGAACAAGCTCCCGGAGCTCTGGGCCCTCCTCAACTTCCTGCTCCCGACCATCTTCAAGAGCTGCAGCACCTTCGAGCAGTGGTTCAACGCTCCCTTCGCCATGACGGGCGAGAAGGTACGGCCAAGAGGCTGTGGTGAGGGGCTGGGGGGGCCCGGCCCCGTCTGCCTCCCCTTGGAGCACATCCCGGCTTTGGGATGGGGCTTATGGAGCAGGTGGGAGGGAGGGGAATGCTGCTTCTGAGGCTGGAATATCGGTGCTTGAACCGTGTCGGTGCCGCGCGAGGTGGTTCCCGGTGCATCGTGAGAGTGGAGGTTCTGCAGAGCGGGATGTGGGGCATCCAGATGGATTCAGTGCAGAGCCAGTCGCATCGAATGGCTTCTGGTGTCCCGATCCCAGGGGATCCCATGGGAATTACATCCCTTTGGTTGATGGTTCCTCTCCCGGTGCCGCAGGTGGACCTGAACGAGGAGGAAACAATCCTGATCATCCGGCGCTTGCACAAGGTGCTGCGGCCCTTCCTGCTGCGCCGCCTCAAGAAGGAAGTGGAAGCACAACTGCCCGAGAAGGTGCTGGCTCCTCCCTATCCCGTGGGATGCGTGTGGGGCTCCCATGGGATGAGCTGGGGGGGCTTCATCGCTTCCTGCTTCTCCACAGGTGGAATATGTGATCAAGTGCGACATGTCGGCGCTGCAGCGCGTCCTCTACAGGCACATGCAGGCCAAGGGTGTGCTCCTCACCGACGGCTCCGAGAAGGACAAGAAGGTCTGGATATGGGAGTATCCCTGTTTTGGGATGGGTGGGAATGTCACCGGGCTGAGGGGGGGCTGGTCTGGCTCCTGCTGCTCATCACCGCAGCATGAAACCCCTCCTTTTATAAGCAAAAGGGTTTCAAAGCCATCAGGAAGTGAAGTGGGAATTCCGGTTGAGCGCTTCCGGAATGTTCCTCAGGGATGTCTGATTGTCCATCTCCTTGGCACAGGGTAAAGGAGGCACCAAAACCCTCATGAACACCATCATGCAGCTGCGGAAGATCTGCAACCACCCCTACATGTTCCAGCACATCGAGGTAACGCAGGAACTCTGGGAATGGTGGAAAACAGCCCTGGGAAACTGTGGAAAACTGCTGTGTTCTCCTACACGGGGATCAACCCAAGTGGGACCAACCCAGTGGGGCTTAAATCCAACGGGGAATCAACCCAATGGGTCATCAACCCAACTGGGATTGACCCAACGGGGGTTAAACCCAACTGGGATCAACCTAATGGGTCATCAGCCCAACTGGGATCAACCCAACGGGGGTTAAACCCAACTGGGATCGACCTAGTGGGTCATCAACCCAACTGGGATCGACCCAATGGGGGTTAAACCCAACTGGGATCAACCCAATGGGTCATCAACCCAACTGGGATCAACCCAACAACTCCTGCGGCCGCAGCCCGGCCGGAGCGTTGCCCACATTCTGCTTCACGCTGGCGCTGTGCCGATCAGGCTGCCTCCAAAACACTCCTTTTGGCCCCCAAAACGGGTTCCCGTGAGCGCAGTGATGCCAAGTGGGTGTATCCCATCGGGATGAGCCCCTTGGGAACACCCTCAGCGCTTCCCGAGGCGATCCGGGAGCGGGATCCCTGTGTCACCCTGTGCCCACCATGGTTCTCTCCTGGGCCCCTTCGAGGCCACTTCCAGGCCACTTCCAGGCCGTCCATCGGCTTCCTTTGACCAGTTCCTGATGCTATTTCTCTTCCTGGTTTCAGGAATCCTTCTCGGAGCACTTGGGCTTCACAGGAGGCATCGTGCAGGGGTGAGTGAGGCGGGTGAGAGGCGCGAGGAGGAGCCACGTGGGGTTTCTCCTCCCAATCCCTCATCTCCCTCTTCTCCTCCCTATCCCTCATCTCCCTCTTCTCCTCCCTCCCTCCCTCCTTCCCTTCCAGGCTGGATTTGTACCGCGCCTCTGGGAAGTTCGAGCTCCTCGACAGGATCCTTCCCAAGCTCCGAGCCACCAACCACAAGGTGCTGCTCTTCTGCCAGATGACCTCCCTCATGACCATCATGGAAGATTACTTCGCCTACCGCGGGTTCAAATACCTCAGGCTGGACGGTGAGTGCCGCCGGCACCTCCCAGAGGAGATGGGGAACAGAGAGCAAAGGGACAGGGCTGGATCCTGGCATCCAGGAGGTCCCCATTGCCCCGGGAGGCTGATGCTGGAAGTACACAGGGATTGGGGAATGCCAGGTTTGAGCTGGAAGGTGCCGTGTGAGCACGAACCCAACCTTCCGTCACCGCATCCAGCAACGGTGCCGGGGAAGCCGTGGGGCTGCCGGAGCCGGTGCGGACCTGACCCCTGTTTGCCAGCAAAAAGCAGTGCTGGGTCTGTAATGAATCCCTGGATTTGGTGCTGGCTCCTTAGAGAATCCCTGGATTTGGTGCTGAGTCTGTAATGAATCCATGGGTTTGGTGCTGACTCCTTAAAGAATCCGTGGGTTTGGTGCTGGCTCCTTAAAGAATCCCTGGATTTGGTGCTGGCTCCTTAAAGAATCCCTGGGTTTTGGGGTGGCCTCTTTAAGAATCCCTGGATTTGGTGCTGGCTTCTAAAAGAATCCCTGGGTTTGGTGCTGGCTCCTTAAAGAATCCCTGGATTTGGTGCTGGCTTCTAAAAGAATCCCTGGTGGATTGGGTGCTGGCTTCTTAAAGAATCCCTGGATTTGGTGCTGGCTCCTTAAAGAATCCCTGGATTTGGTGCTGGCTGCTTAAAGAATCCCTGGATTTGGCGCTGGCTCCTTAATGAATCCCATGGGTCTGGTGCTGGCTCCTTAATGAACCCCTGGATTTGGTGCTGGCTCCTTAGTGAACCCCTAGATTTAGTGTCAGCTCTGTAATGAATCCCTGGATTTGGTGTCGGCTCTTTCCCGATCCAGCCCGGGAGCAGCTTTGAGCCGCTGCAGAGCTGAGGTGCAGAATGAGACCAAAGCAGCTCCATGAGCCGTGGTTTCTCCTCCCAGTCCATGTCCTGGTCCCACCACGGAACAATTCCCGTTGTGGGGAGTCCCTCGGGGCTGGCTGAGCCCCAGCTCCTGCTGCTGCCACCCTCCAATGCTGCCTTAAGGCCGGGCACGTCCCGAGCTCCGGTTCCTCTCCCGAGTGTCCCGTGTCCCGGCCCCTGGCCCCACTCTGGGTGGGATTAACCTCGGCTCTGCCCGCAGGGACCACGAAGGCCGAGGACCGGGGCATGTTGCTGAAGACGTTCAAC